TACTACGTACGACGTACGTACGACGACGACGACGACGACGTACGACCGACGACGACGCGTACGCTACGTCTCCTCTACTCTCTCTCTCTCTCTCTCTCTCTCTCTCTCTCTCTCTCTCTCTCTCTCTCTCTCCTAACTCTCTTTTTCATCCACTTGTCATCCTTCCCTCCCCCACCCAAAAAAAAAAAATATAAGAGAGAAAAAAGAAGAAGAGAGAGCTCTCTGGATAAAGTATGTGGACCTCTTCCTCTTCTTCCTTTTTTCTCCTTTTTATTCCATCCCCCACGCTCATCTACACTCACACCAATTTTCTTTCTTTTCTCCCCTTTCTCCTTCATCCATCTCCTCTATCCATGTCTCTCTTTTTTTTAATCTTCTATTTTGCATCTCACCCCCTTATTTCTCTCTTCTCTTTCCTGGTTCTCCCCCCTCCCTTTTCTCTTCTCTCCCCGTCTCCTCTTTTTCTTCTCGATACATGCCTCTTTTAGACGAGATGGTGCTCAAAGGGATAGCTGTTATTGAAGACCAGGCGAGCCCATCCGACGCACTCGACGTGCCTAAGTCAAAAGCACTCTTCATTATCTCCCTATCCTCTTTTTCTTTTCTCACCTCTCTTTTCGTCATTCTCCTCCCACTAATCTCTCTCTAGGTATTCCCCTCCCTCTTCTTTTTTCTCCCCTATTCTCTTTTCCTTTGAGCACGTCATCTTGGTTCGTGAATTGCTGCTTCAGTGTATAACCTTTCTCGAAGACCAGTCGTGGCTTCCCGTCACCCTCGTCACATTCGAATCAGAAGAATATGGATAGCACTCTCAACATCTAACTCTTATTCCATTCCTTTTTGTGCTTTGATTTTTTCTGTTTTTACTTTTTTTGAGAACCGATCTTGGGCCCATTTTTTCTGTTTTTACTTTTTTTGAGAACCTATCTTGGGTCCTCTATTTTGTATACTTTCCCTTAAACTTAGCTTCTCTCTTCTCATGTGTTTATCTCTCTGTCCTCTATTTCTTTCTCTGATCTACCTCCCCTCAACAGTAACTGATGTAGTCTGAGAACCCAACATGTGGGATACCATCCTAAGGTTTTCTCATACTGTAATTTTTTTATAAATACAAAGTTAACATATTTCTCAAAAAAAAAGAAACATCCTCCTCACAATTATAATAAACAATGTCTAAGGCAGAGACATCAATTAAAAGGAAAACCAATTGAAAATAGAGAATAATCCTCACAATCAGTAAGACATTATGAAAGACCCACTGATGAGAAGACCTCCATTAAAACAACGAATAGCAACATGAATTTCGGAACAATCTCCCAAGCAAAAGGACAAGTAGAAAGAAAATGGAAAAAGAAACAATCAAAATAAACCCCATTTGAAGTATAGAAGATGCACCAGGAAAAAAAAGTACGAAAGAAGACAAAGAAGGATCTCTCAACAACAAAACCGCAAAGCACAAATCAATCCTCACCTTCAGAGCTTTTCTGTGATGATCCAGCACAACCCATCCTCGTAAACACCACAACCAGATCGAGAAACAAAATTGCAAAGAAAAAGACAGAAAAAACAAAGAGAGAGAAAATCACAGCACCGCCACCATAGCAAACTGTGCATGCGTCAATAGGTCTCCGTGTCAGATTCCAGCGAGAAAAAAAAAGTGAAACCGCCGGATTCCGGCACGAAGTCGGACCCAAACGCCGGAGAACATGCAGAAGCGAAAGTGGGACGGCGGGGGGGTCAACTATTGAAGCATGAAGTGAAGCTTAGTGGGAGAAAGATGACATTTATCTTTCAACCTTCCGAGATGGAGGGGAAGGCGTGCAGTGGGTGCTTGACATGTAGAGAGAGAAAGATAAAATTTAGAGAGAGAGAGATTTTTATATGTTTTGGTTCCCCAGCAAACCACTTTTTTTACAAGAGGGTTGGAGGGACTTAAATTCTTATTCATAATCCCCCGCCACAATGACCAAAATACTCCCGATCGGCCGCAACCGCCTAGCCACCCACCTTGACAAACGGCCTCTCCTTTAAATCCAAAAAACAAAGGGGAGGAATAATATGAATTATCTATCTATCTATTATTATCTACTACTATTTTATTAAGCGAAGGTTAAGCGGTGGACCATTGTCAAGAAAAAAAAAAAAAGATCTGTATTTAAAGATAATATAGCGCTAAGTGATATTAAATAGGTGTTAAAGGTGCGCACTGTACGAAGAAATCGAGACAACTACCATGAAACATATAAATGAAAATAATACCATATTAGAAAAAATCAACATCATTTTCTCAAACCATTAATATCTTCACTGAAGCCTAAAAAAATTTTAAAAAAATAATTAAATTTTATAAAAATATTCCCTACCTTTTTGGAAAAAGGTCTGAGAGGGAGGGGAAAAGAAAAAATACGTCATGCGATGGAAAGAGAGAGAAAAAAATATGTGGCAGATAGAAAGTTGACTAAAAAATCTCTCTAGATAGGAGTAGAGATGTCTTTTTTTAAAAGAAAAAAGTGTTTATAAGGTTGCAAACTTAAAAGGTAGAATTACATATGCACCTCAAAAATCAATCGGAAAAGGTTGTTTTAATTTTGAAAAAACCCTCTAATTAATCATTTGGATATCAAGATGTACGAATATGAAAAAAAAAAAAAAAGATTTTGACTCTCAGAAATATTGCATCTTGCAATACATTATCTAGACCATCAATTTTTCATATTTTTATATGTTTATAGATCTACTTTGATTTTAACCCATTTTGGAATTTAAAATTTTATGATTAGATATCTAAAAAAAAATTAGACCAAAATTGCATGTTATAATAAAATTTGGATGTGCACCTTAATTGGATTGTTTAAGGTTGCAATCTTACTCTTTTTAAAACGGAAATCTCCCTCTAGATAGGAGTGGAGATATCTTTTTTTTAAGTTACTATGAGTTTTTAAAATCCAAATTGCGAAAGAAAATAACAACCACTTAAAAGTTGAGAGATGTGATATATAAAGAAAAAATGTGATAGAGATAGTGAAAGGAATATGAGATTTAAAAAAGATAAATATGTGAGATATTTTAGAAGAGAAAAAATATGAAAGTAAATGAGAAAGAGAGATAACATAAAAAGAAATAATTGAGAAAATGTGAGAGAGATAGTGAAGAAATATGAGATTTAAAAAAGAGAAATATGAGAGATATTTTAAATGAGAAGAAATAGGAAAGTAAATAAAAAATAGAGATGAAATCGAAACAAATACGTGAGAGAGATGAGGAGAGAGAAAAATAGGAGAGAGAGAGAGAGAGAGAATGGTTTCCTAAAAACTCTCTCTACATAGACATAGAGACGCCATCATGTTAGCCCTAGATGTTAACCCTAGACGAAAATGTGGGTGTATAAAGAACGATTTTCAAATATTGAATGCCCCATAACTACTGCGGTAAAACACTACAAACAACCTTCTCTCCTTCATTTTCTCTCTCCACATTTTGGGTCATTCTTTGTTACTATCCTCACCAACATCTTTTTTTACATTATTTCTTTCCCAACATCTCTTTTTTTTTCTTTTTTTTCTTTTTTTTTTTTTTGACAATATTCAATCTTTTATTTAGAAAATTCACATGTTACAAGATAGAGTTTAGATCATCACAAATAACTAGGGCCTCCAACATAGCCCCCTTTATTAGCCAAAGAGTCAGGTAACTCATTTCCTTCCCAAAGCTATGTTGAAAAGAAACTCCAAGAAATTTAGCAAGATCGATAATCTACAACCATATTTGATGAAGTTGCTATGGTGCCATTTGCTCTTTCTTATACCATAAAATTGTATTTAGAGAATCTCCCTCAATCGTACAAAGTTGACCCCTCGAACACTCCTTAATGAGTTTTAAGTCTTGAAGTAGCACTGTCCACATCTGCCAAACCTCGATTTCCAAAAGCGCAACCATCGAAGTTTAGTTTAAAGCAACCTCTCGGGGGTAGAAGCCAAAATTGTCATTGGACGATTCTCCTGGATTGCCAAAGGAGCAACCATCAAAATTTAATTTCAAGGAAACTTTCAAGGGAGAAGCCAAACTGTCCTTGGACGACTCGTCATTCTCCTCAGAAAGAAAAGATGCTTGAGATCCCACATCTCTCTTTCTCTACTAACTACAATTTTCATCGTACTCACTATTTATCCCTCTCCTTCTTTGTTAGTGTGCTCTTTTTTTGTTCCTTGGTTATATCTATAATTTGTATGTTTCATACTAATTGTAGTTTTTTACTTTTTCCTTGGTTATATCTATAATATATAGGTTTCCTATTAATTGCAGTTTTTTGTGGCCCTTTGATTTGTCTGATGCTTTATTTGTCGATTTTTAAAGTTTATGTTTTTGTAGTATTATTTTTAAAGTTTATGTTTTGCAGTATTAAGCCTGAGATGGAAATTAATTAAGCCACAGTTAAGGGTTGGACATATGTGAAAAAAAAAAAAATACCCTATTCATATAGGAGAAGTGACTTTAGAGATAAAGAAAGAAGAAAGAAAGAAACATCCAAATGTTACATCTCCTTGGATGGACACATTTCAAAAAATAAAAAAGATAGAGACAATGTAGGTCAAGTGAATTTAGAGAGAAAGGGCAAGTGAATTTAGAGTGAGTAAGTGAATTTAGAGAGAAAGAAAGGGCAAAGGTTGCAATGCCAGTTGCATCTCCTTGTCATCTAGAGATAAAGAAAGAGAAAATATTACAATTAATCACACATAATAAATAAACTAGGTAATAAAAACAACATCTTCTATAAAATAAAATGCCAAATACATGTTATTTGTTAAGATTTCCTATAGTACCGATCAACCCAAGGAATACCCTTAGGGATTTTGGGGAATTTGGTCTAGATTAGCTAAGCATACACCTCACCTGGTCTTGGTCGACTGCCATGCCCTCCTTAGAAATCACACGGCCCAAGTAATTAACTTTAAAATACCCAAAGAGCATTTAGAATCCTTCACACAACTTGTTCTCACGCAAGACTTCTAACATCACTTTTAAGTGCTTCAAACGATCATTTAAGGAGTGGTTGTACACAAAGGTGTCTTAAAAAATATCAGCACAAATTTGTGTAAACAGGGCCTAAACATTTCATTCATCAAACTTTGAAAAGTGGAAGGAGCATTTGTGAGCCCAAAAGGCATCACTAGGAACTCATAATGGCCTTGTTGAGTCCTACATGTTGTCTTGTGCACATCTTTATCTCTAACTCGGATTTAGTGGTATCCAGAGCGCAAATCCAACTTTATAAAAAATTAGGAAGCATACAACTCATCTAATAATTTATCAACTATTGGAATTGGAAACTGGTCTTTAACTGTAACATGGTAAAGGGCTTGATAATCCGCACATATACCAGGACCCATCTTGTTTCCTCTCTAACAGTACTGGTGAGGAAAAGGGACTGGTACTTGACCTAATAATATCATTGGAAAGCAATTCTTTAATTATTTTCTCAATTTCAGACTTTTGAAAATCATGGTACTTGTAGGGCCGAACAGAAATTGGTGCAGCTCCATCTACAAAGGGTACTCTATGGTCATGAGATCTAGTTGGAGGGAGGCCTTTTGGTTCTTTAAAAACAACTGCAAATTGATCCAACAGTTGTTGGATACATGGATCAATGTCTGGGTTCCCCTGTAGCCACGATCATGTTGCACAATTGGAGAAGATAGGCACGGCAAACAATTCTCATATGTTTTGCCACCTTGTCGGGTCTAATAACTTCTGATTTGCTAGATGGAATTCCCTTCAACGTATACTCCTTCCTCCCTTATTTGTATTTCATAGATAAGGATGCAAAATCCCACAAAACAGGTCCAAGCATGTGTAACCACTGGGCCCCAAGAACTGCATCATATCCACCAAAAGATAGCAGGTAAAACTCAACTTTTATTGGAACTTCCTTCGCCCATTCCCCTTTAGTCTCTCCCCATTAGCCACTATCAAACACTGCATCTGATTGAGTTGGAAGCTTAGCCTTCTTGATAAGGAAAGGATCAATGACATTATGAGTTGACCCATTATCTATCAAAATGGTGAGTAAGCAATGTCTCAACGTCCCAATAATTCTCATTGTCTGAGGTGCTCAGGCTCCTGCAATAGCATGCAAAGATATATCTGACACCACATAATCCTCCGGTGCCTCACCCAACCCAACCTCTTGCACTTCTACAGTGGCCAAATCCACCACTTCTTCCTCATCTTCATCCTCCAACAGCCCCTCAACCCAAAATAATTCTTGGGTCTTACACTTGCGGTTGGGAGTGAACTTCTCATCACAGTGATGACATAGGCCCTTCTCTCTCCTTTCTCTTGCCTCTGCATGAGTTAGTTTCCTTTCGGTTGGAATGGGCTTGGAAGAGTAGATGTTGCCATCCCCTAGGCGTGGCTTATTAAACTCCACCTTCAGCAGTTTCTTCTTCACAGTCACCTCTTATTCTTGAATTTTGACAAGGCTTAATGCTTCAGGCAATGTAGTCGACTAAAGTTTTTGGATACCTAGCTGAATTTCCTCCTTTATCCGTTCCCCCTAACCCGATTGGAGAGTCTATGAGATTCCTTATGATATTCAAGTACAGTGGTGGATTGAATGAGTTTAGACAACTTGCCTGCAAAGTCTTCACTCCTACTTGGCCCAAACCTCACATACAATGCCTCCAAGAATTCGTCCCAACTTGGGTCAGGCTGGTACTCCTTGTACCATTGATACCACTCTAAGGCATCCCCCTCTACATTGAAGGAGGTAATGGTGAGCCATTGTTCATGTGGTACTTGATGGTAGGAGAAGTACATTTCAGCTTTGAAGAGCCACCCCGTAGGATTCTTCCCATCAAATCTTGGAAAGCCAACCTTTATTGTCCTAG